ATAAGCTCGGAATCACATTTACCATTACTCACTGGAAAATTAGTTCAATTGGCGCACTTCTGCACAATTCTTTCACGGGCCGGATAAAATCACATCGCGGGCCGTAGTTTGGAGACCCTTGATCTAGTGTAAAAATAAAGATAAAGCTATCCCTGTAAAGAGATAGGGAGGCCCATAGTGTTGTGAGACGTCGAGGCTCCCACATTTTCTAGACAGTCAGTTCCCAGATGACGGTGAGGTTGTCAGCAATATGCGAAGGCCGTTCTTTACCCCCCCACCCCAACAAGATTCCTGGTACTCATTTCTGTTAGAGGCTGAGTTGACCCCAGTACCATAGTGCGGCTGGAAGGATTAGATCAATTGAAAAAATCCAGTGAACTCATCGGGATTCGAACCCGCCACCTTTCGCCTTGTAACATAGTGCTACCGCGTGCCCCGTAAATAATGACGCAACGGAAGGCTTCACGGTTTGTGCTGCTCGTCAGATGTAATTAGGGTGATCAAATCAAGGAGAATGATATGGACGCAGCATGTAACAGAAATGCACACAAAATTTCAAGTGAAAGCCTGAGGAAAAGAGATCATTTGGAAGACCTTACGTTAGATGAAGGGTTCTGTCTTCTGCGATATAACGCCGTGAAGCATGAAAACAAGCGGCTTTGCTTGCAGCCTGCTTTCACGCTGGTTTGTAAACGTGGAGGAGACATGTTACTCCAAATCGTCGGTTGACTTAAAACGGACTACACAGCGCTACATCCCAGAAGATAAAACTCTTCATAACCACCGCTGTGAGAACCTCAGATCCTACACAGCGCTATATCCCAGAAGATAGAACTCTTCATAACCACCGTTGTGAGAACCTCAGAACCTACACGGCGCTATATCCCAGAAGACAGAACTCTTCATAACCACCGCTGTGAGATCCTCAGATCCTACACAGCGCTATATCCCAGAAGATAGAACTCTTCATAACCACCGCTGTCAGAACCACAGAACCTACACGACGCTATATCCCAGAAGACAGAACTCTTCATAACCACTGCTGTGAGATTCTCAGACCCTACACAGCGCTATATCCCAGAAGACAGAACTCTTCATAACCATGCTGTGAGAACCTCAGATCCTTCACGGCGCTATATCCCAGAAGACAGAACTCTTCATAACCACCGCTGTGAGAACCTCAGATTCTACACGGCCCTCTATCCCAGAAGATAGAACTCTTCATAACCATGCTGTGAGAACCTCAGATCCTACACGGCGCTATATCCCAGAAGACAGAACTCTTCATAACCACCGCTGTGAGAACCTCAGATTCTACACGGCCCTCTATCCCAGAAGATAGAACTCTTCATAACCACCGCTGTGAGATCCTCAGACCCTATCTAGCGCTATATCCCAGAATACAGAACTCTTCATAACCACAGCTGTGAGAACCTCAGACCCTACACAGCGCTGTATCCCAGAAGATAGTACTCTTCATAACCACCGCTGTGAGAACCTCAGATCCTACACGGCCCTCTATCCCAGAAGATAGAACTCTTCATAACCACCGCTGTGAAAACCTCAGACCCTACAAGGTGCTGTATCCCAGAAGACAGAACTCTTCATAACCACCGGTGTGAGAACCTCAGATCCTACACAGCGCTGTATCCCAGAAGATAGTACTCTTCATAACCACCTCTCTGGGAACCTCAGATCCTACATAGCGCTATATCCCAGAAGACAGAACTCTTCATAACCACCGGTGTGAGAACCTCAGATCCTACACAGCGCTGTATCCCAGAAGATAGTACTCTTCATAACCACCTCTCTGGGAACCTCAGATCCTACATAGCGCTATATCCCAGACGACAGAACTCTTCATAACCACCGGTGTGAGAACCTCAGATCCTACACAGCGCTGTATCCCAGAAGATAGTACTCTTCATAACCACAGCTGTGGGAACCTCAGGTCCTACATAGCGCTGTATCTCAGAAGACAGAACTGTTCATAACCACCGCTGTGGGAACCTCAGGTCCTACACAGCGCTATATCCCAGAAGACAGAACTCTTCATAACCGCTGCTGTCAGAACCTCAGATCCTGCTTACAATAGATGAGAGAATACTATTGAAACGAAACTTAATAATTGAGTCGTAAGGTTATGACTGGTTGTACATTACCCAGTAGGGACAGGTGTGAATGAATATGTAATGAGCCTTCTGGTTCCAGAACATGCTGAGAATCTCCTTGGCTAGCTCAGCGAATGCGAGCCACTTGCAGTTGCCGCTCGGTTCTCTGCCGACAGAAAGCTGGGATTTGCTAGATGGAATGCAGCTGCCGGGATGAATGAATGGCCGTGCGCTGTGTTGTGGTGCCCTGTGCAGCTGCAGACCTTGCGACGGGTCTATCCCCCATCAAAGGAGTTCAGTCAGCTGTCCCTAAGGACTGAAAATTTTTGGAAGCCCTCGTCAGCGCAGTCATTCTTGGTTTCTAGTCCCGCGAGGATGATGTTCATATTCTGCTGTTACACGACTCCTGAAACCGTACAACTACTGCCAACTTCCTGTGACGGTCGAGTAATTTGTTGCTGGTCTTCCTCAGCACAGTCATTCTTGTTTTCGAGCTGTCACATAACTCTGTGGGTCATGCATCTACTTCGAACTTCGTGTGAAACGTTTAGTCAGAAATTTATTTCTGCGCAGTTTCAACGTACGACGCAAGGATATACCGAAAGCACAGCTTAACGCTTAATGCTGACTTCAGGCATGAAATTTAATCGAAATCTGTTGAGTAGTTTCGGAGATACGGAGGATATTCACATTATCTTACGTTATGCCTTCTTTGTACATTTAAAAGAACTTGAAACCCGTTATACAAATAGCCCCAAATGGTTATTTTGTCGATAAATCGACTAGCCTAAAACATCTGTGGGAATGTGTCGCCGTCACATGGTGAGTTAGATGGGTACGTCACAAGAATTGACATATGAGACCGGCAAGACAACCATAAACACAACTGAAGTACCATTCTAAAAGTTCAAAAGATTCCCTATCTCCGGCAAAGTGACAGTAAGCGGCTTCCGTAGTCTAGAGGTAACGTTCCCACCTCATGACTCGTAGTACGCGGGTTCAAATACCCGGCGGAGGTCGTCGAATTTTTAAGGGCGGAAAAATTCAGGGAACAAGTCCTCCGGGAGGGACTTTAAGCCGTGGGTCCCGTGTCGTAGCTTTACGGCACGTAAAAGAACCTCATATCGCCAAAGGAGGTCACTGAGCCAAATTAACGGACGTTTCCCGCCCAACAGCAATCTCTAATACCTCTGGTAGATGGGGGAAGCATTATAGATACCTCTCAGCTAGTAGAGCCGGTCTCGCTGGCTGGGCGGGACTGATGGCAAGCACCAGTACCGGTAGGATATAGAGACTGGTAGAAATCATAGAGGGAAGCACAATGGACCAATACAGGTCTCAGTGCATGGGTAAACCCACCCTTTCCCATAACTAACTAACTAACTAACTAAAGTGACAGTGTCTAAAACGTCTTCGAATGTTGGTCATTCTCAGATAGTGACATACATTGGTAGCAATCATTAGGAAGTCATTGTCTGTCTGTGGCTCTACAGCCTTTTGTTGGTCCTTGGCCGCTTTTTCAGCTTCTTAATCCTATACACAGCCGGTAGGACTCCTTGGACGCGGGATCAGCCCGTCAGAAGGCCGCTACCTTCACACAGAACAACACAAATACAGAATAAACGTACACACAGACATCCATGCCTCAATTCAAACACACGATCCCATTGTTCGAGTAGGCGAAGACGGTTTATGTCTGATAGACCGCGCGGCTGCTGTGATGGACATTAGAAAGTCACTGGGTTCTATTTTTAACTTAGGATAGGAACAAAAATCGCCATACTAGGGACATTTTGGAACGCAGTGAACTTTTCTTCCGCAAGGTTGCCTAATCAAGGTATGACGTAACCTCAGACGGGCTGAAGTTTATTGCCTTAAGCCCTCAGACGATACGGACACTCAGGTTATTTCCGCTATCCATTGTGAATGAGGCAACACGTTGTGAGATAAGAAATTAGCACACTCAAAGTGCGTCAGGGTTTATCTTACCTCGATCTGTTTGTATAAGAATTATAAGCATCTATGGTCAATTGGTATTGAGAAAGAACGGGGTCACAATAGTTTACTTTGTGTGACAAATTATGATATCAAATGAATGTGAAGCAAGGTTATCTTTTGTTTCGACGCCTCTTGATGGTATATAAAGCCCTGTGTCCGCCAGCGAAGCATGGAATTTTTAAGAAGAGCACGATAAAAATGGCTGTGAAGATTTGCTTCGTTTTCCTATTGACTATCCTCGTTGTTCAGGTAAGTAATGTGTTTCTTACTGTTAAACTGAAGACGGAACTTAACAGAAATATTGTTATAATCTTTTCCCACATCGTGTAACACGTGCTTGAAATGGTGTGTGTTTTCTTTGCCGCGATAGAGCAGATTATTATTATTATTACTATTATTATTATTATTATTATTATTATTATTATTATTATTATTATTTGTATTATTATTATTATTTGTAGTCTCCATCACTGCAGCTTCGTTTCTTTTTCGAGAGTAATTTTATAATCTTGCCAGTTTCTAGTCTGTTTGCTGTCTAATATAGGGACGATTCACGAGACATGAATTGCAAAGTGCTTAGAAGGAAACATTCGTGTCCTGATCAGGGCGCATCCCAGCATTTTCATGGAGGCCCTGACGAACACCGCTACGTCCCTCAGTCAGGATAAACAGTGTCTCTAACTAAGTTCGAAATGAGCATCTCCCGAATGCGATCTTAGAGCATTGCCACTAGACCAGCCTGTTCGGTTGCTCCTACTGAACTTCAAGTTTTCTGCACTTCTGTAGTATTAATTTGTTCGGGAGACCGTATTTTTCGCTTCACAAAAAGTAAACTTGCCCCCATAGGAGTTGTGAGACGTTGAGGCTCCCACATTTTCTAGGGAGTCGATTCACAGATGGCAGTGAGGTTGTCAGCCTTACGCACCGGCCGCCCTTTACCCCCCAGGAAGATGCCTGGTACTCATTTCTGTTAGAGGCTGAGTCGACACCAGGGCTATAATCAATTGAAAAATCCAATTATCTCATCGGGAATCGAACCCGCGAACCTCCGCGCTGTAGCATAGTGCCTAAACCAACTAAGCCATGAAAGTTTATTTGAGAGTTGATTTATAGATCAATGTATTTTTAGCCTCGGCATTAGTTGGAGGTTAGTGGTCAGCTTCACGGCCCAGCCGCGTTACCCCTGGGGAAAGAGCCTCCATTGGATATGAAGCTGGGTGGACCACAGAGCCGGTCTGGAAGACATGGAGAGAAAAAATCTCGCCTCTACCGGGACTCGAACAAAGACCCCTCTGCCGTCCGCTCCGTAGCCAGTCGCTGTCCCGGCTCTTCTTCACTTCATGCCTTGTGAAATGTAATCTTTAATTTGACGTTAGGGCCTGATGTCGAGTCGAATACGTCATCTGCTCGAGGAGCGGTTGAACATTACAAAGAAGTGATGAAACGTGGAAGTAAAATCCTAGCAACATGCTTTATTTTCTGTGCAGAAATCAGAACTGTCACCAGTTACCGAAACTTACGGTAACGTATTTGCCGGCATCATAGACGAGGCTTTGAGGCTTGCTCAGGAAACGATAAATTACATTGCTGAACTGATCAAGGAGACTGTGGAGCTGGCGTCACAGACAGTTGATGATGCGCTGAAGACGATCCTCGAGAAGGGAAAGGATGTTCAGTCAGAGGCGCAGGATGCCTTACGGAAGCTGCTGCAGTCAGTGGCCGAGGAGATCAAGAAGGCCAAGGACAAGGCGCTGGAGGCGGGAGCGGATATCTCGGAGTGCATATCTGGCCAGGAGGACGCTGCTAAGGAAGCAATTGAAGAAGTGACACAGGAAATTGCGGCTTGTGTTTCTGATAAGGTAAGAAAATATCATCGGAGTGACGTCCTGAAAACAAAAACATGCATCACTTTATTTTGAATTTACCGGAACCAGCTTTATGTTCTAGTTCATATTGTGGCCGTCTGTGTAAGGACACCACGTTACGTAGTCTGTTAAAAGCTAAATCACATTCTAGGCTGCACACTGCCATGGCCGGAGATCGCTTTTCTTTTTAGTTTTTCTTGGGGGGGTGATGTGAGACTGAGCCCACTTAGTACGTCTGCCACTAATTAGCGAATTGTACAAGCTCCGGATGATAGATGATGACGAATGTGGAGCATTCGGTGGAATGAAGATTGTCAGAGGAAACCGAAGTACTCGGAGAAAACCTGCCACATTGCCACTTTGTCCACCACAAATCCCACATGACTTGATCTGGGCTCGAACCCGGGATGCCGCGATGAAAAGCCGGCGACTATTTAACTTTTTTTTAAATTCTCATAGTGGGAGGTGGAGTCCAGCTGGGTCCACTCGGCACGGCCGCCACTGACTGGCCTACTGTACCTGCCCCGGGTGAGTATGGTGATGGAGAATTTGGTGGAATAAAGATTGGCAGGGGAAACCGAAGTACTCGGAGAAAACCTGCCACATTGCCACTTTGTCCACCACAAATGCCCCTTGACCAGACCCGGGCTCGAACACGGGCCGCCGCGGTGAGCAGCCAGCAACTAACCGCTTGAGCTATGGCACGGCCCTAGACCAAGGTTAGGCTAATCTGAAAGTAGGGCAGACCGAGGGGTGAGAGGCCACGTCTTAGACTCACTACAAGCCAATGTCTGATTGGAGGCTCCCACGGCTGTAGCTATGTGACGCCGTGTAATTTGGTAGCTGTTTACAGATATTTTGGAGCACGGTATTGCCTCCAGTTTCAGGGACGACGACTAAATGAAGCAAGCTGCAAGGAAGAGTCAGGCAGTTGGCAATGTGGTTCAGGTTTAATTCTGGTCACACATACACAGTTCAGGACAGTTTCCCTCTGTATTGAGCACACAAGTCAGTCGCGAAAGGGACTTCAATTTCAGTCTCCTTCCTTATTCGTCTTGGCTTTCTAAACCGGAGCGTCTGCTTCCATTCAAGTAGCTCCTCAGTTATCCTCACGAGGCTGAGTGGACCCCTTTCTCAGAAAATCTGGTAGCATCGGGAATCGATCCCGGGACCTCTGGATCTCTAGCCAGAAACTCTGGCCACTAGACCAAAGAGGCGCAAAAAAAATTGGCACTAACTTCGCCGACAAGCGGCGGTCGCTCTCTGTGTATAGTTTTTTTCCTTCGTTATTTGTCACGCATCTGCCGGTCAGCAAAGTGACGTAAGTTACGATTTGCTGCACGCGTCACTCACATTGGACTTGTAGGATGGAGGTAGTTTACTCCTCCGAAACGCCAGTAAACTTCTGTCATACTAAAGGGCGTCTCATCCCAGAATATATTATGCTTTGCAATATATCTAATTCGTGTAATTGGTGACGTTAAACTTAATTTGCTTTATTCGTAAATTATTTAATGGCGTCTTTCCAAATAAATTAACATAGGTTGTATTTCATAGAATGATAGAATAATTCTGAACAATAAATTGGAAATTATGTAGAAGCATGCTTTCATGACCTGGGTACTGGACCGGTATCTATCTGGAAGGTTTGAGGAAAACCACGAAAACCTCAGACATAATAACCGCCTTCCAGGCCTGGATTTTGTCACGGTCCCACCAAGGAGAAAACAGGAGTGCTGTGTCATCACATGTGAAATATAACTTTTAGGTAGTAGAGTCGTTTTGAGAATTTCAGCTAATCAAATAAACCTACGTTTCTTTACGTAATCCGAAGACTTTACAGCTTTCTCATGATCTCTCCACATATCCATATATTTTAACTAAAATAATCTGGTCTGTACCCTTCTAACAATATATTTTGGGTCCACTTTAATATCATCCTGTCATATATACTTAANTATTTTTTCCAGTTTTCTGTTACATTCGCCGTCTCAGTTCTGTTCTCGTAAATCTTCCATCCGTGTCCTTCTGTTAAATACTCAGGAGTTAGGATCTTAATTTTTGTATGTGTGTGTTGGTCGAGTCAGGTAAATTGCTTCTGGTCCTCGCCAGCAAAGTCATTCCTATTTCCGAGTCTCGTGGGACTCTCGAACGTGTGTTTCCCTCTAATAATTTTAGGAGTCATGTAGCTACCCTGAAGCACATGGTACACATTGAACATTCTCTTTTATATGTTGATGCTATTCAACTGAACAAAATCCTCGGCGTGTTGAAGGTGTCTGAAGGAACGCAAGTGACGCAGGAACTCCTCAGTAGCATCAGGAACGCCACCCAGTTCGCGGAGGAGGTTGCAGGCAACATCATCGCGTGCTTCAACTTGTCGGGCCCTTTCAAGGTGCTTGACTGCGTCATAGCGGAGACTTCTAAAGCCACGAAGCAGACTATCACCATCGTAACGTCCATAAAGAACAAGGTCATTGAAGTTAAAAACTTTGTGATTCTGGCGGTTCGTGATTTGTCCCTGTGCGCAGGCGCCAAGCTTCTGAAGGCACAGGAACGAGTGGCCGAAATCCTTAAGAACATCACAGTTTGCGTGGATGGGAAATTGAATCCTAACAATTCAGATTATGAGAGGCTTCCTTTGTTAAAGCAATCAAACTGAATTAATGGGTCTTTGTTTAAAGCTTGACAGTGGCATATCTGGTCAACAAGCGTTTCAAATATGTGTGAACGGAAGATTTCAATATCAGAAACAAATATCCAACCTAGGATCTTCCCCTGGATCGTCTCAGTCCAGCCCACTACCCTACGCCCTGCTTCCTCAGATACTTTTTAATCTTATCCTTCCATCCGGGCCTAAATCTCCTGATTAGTCTCGTTTCTTGATTTTTTTAAAATCAATATTCGGTACACATTTCTAATATCCCTCGTTTTATGCTATATTTCTCACGTCTTTCCTCTGTAGGCTTAAATATACAGGATGTTTTGCAAGGGCTGAAACACACACAGCGACATCGATCGTACGGAAAAATGTCGTACGATTTTTTTGCCGTACGATTTCCTTTTCACTCTAGAGCGACCAAATACATTTCTTTGCTCTCCGACTGTCGTACGGTAGATGTCGCATATCGTCACTATGAAAGCTAAGGCTACACTTTATATTCTACTGCTTGATGCGACATGAACCGTACGGACGTCGTACGACCGATGTCGCCGTGTGTGTTCCAGCCCTAAGTGTGGAACCATATTCAGCGTTTGAGTTGTGACACAACTCTTGGAAAATATGTTCGATATATCAGCCATTCATGTCGACACAGATTCCAATGAGAGCGGCGTGATCTGTTTTTGGTGTAACCTCTATGAATTCAGTGGCAGCTACTTCTTAAATATGCATTTGCTCATGTTTCCACATTTATGGGACGCTCTGTGTCATTATCTCTGTATGAGAGACTAAGAATTACGGCCCTTAATAGCAAATGTGTTATAATTTTGTATATTGTAATCTTTGTGCTTCTTAAAAACAGAATTTTCCTTCTGTCCCAAATTCAGTTTCCCATTTTGGAGCTTCAGATTATGTGAATAGATTATCTCATCTGTTCTGTCCTGTTGCGCTATAGTAATGATAGAGTTCATAGGTTATATACAGTGTAGTAGTATATACAGTATTATAACACTAACATGGAGTGAGGTAAATGGAGGTAAATGAAAATTATAAATGGAGTTCAGTGATGTCTTATATTAAAGGTAATTAGCTATCAAATGAAGTAACAAATAAATAGTGTGTTGTTTTACTTTATTTCTCCAAAATCTCAAGGAATATCACATTTCTATTCACATTTCTATTCTCTGAAACATTTCTGAGGTTACGTCATACCTAAAATAAGTAATCTTGCGAAAGGAAAGTCGAATGTGTTTATCGAGATTTTTGTTAAAACGATTTTGAATCACAGTGTATGTCGAAAGTATTGTCACATATATGGGGTTAGAGTGACTAATAATAATGGGTTCAGGATTTGATGATTGGGTTTTTTTGCACTTCTGTCCAATTACAGTTGATTATAACAGTTCATATATTGAACTCTTTCTGAACGATGTCTGTCTGATGCATCTCTATGATGAATCTCTCACGAATCTCAGACTGACCTCTACTGTTCGTGTTTACGAAGACCTGCTACGCTGCCGGGATAGAAAATATCGAAGAGTTCCTCTGTTTTTTTGTGTTGCTTTGGTTAGCAACTTGCTACCTAGCAACGACTCCTTCCCTGCTATTTATTATAACGGAAACTAGTCTCTGTTAATATTCGTTGCCGTAGAAATATGATTACCGAGCCCTTGTCTAGCAATGTACATCTCCTCCGTCTCAACCATTCGGCTTTCAGCCGTCATGTCGCAGTATAATCTAGTGAGCCTCTAATGACCATGTAGCGGTTTGCGTAACTCACTTATGGTGAGCTTAAAGAGATTGTTTCGCGATTTTCTGCGAGGATTCTGGATAAGGTAAAGGAGCCAATATGTCTTATGAAAATATGTACTTTAATTTAATTTATTAGCGCATGTAAATAATGTGATATGACGGCCGAAAGCTGGAATAATGGAACAAGAGGCGCCCATTGGTAGGCAACGGCGCGGTAATTACTTTTGCCTATGACACAACATGGTACCTTGGCTTGCTATACAAATTATCTAAATTAAATTTTTTAATCAGCCTAGTCAAGCTTATTAGCTCTTGTCTGTCTCAGAGAAAATCCTGAGGCTAGGTCGAGGGTCAAATGTCTGTGCCAAGGGATATTACAATCAGGGGGGGCCACAAAGTTTCGTTCTGTCCCCCACATTGTACAGTATATTGTGACGTGTCGCGCTAGCTGGACCCCTCCCCGGAGCTGACGCGCCGAGCGGAGCCGAAGTTAGCCGAGTCCC